AAGATACTCCTAAAGATGCAAAATGGCAGTAATACCTTGGCACTAATCAAGAGCTGCCTAACTGGATCTAAAGTCTGGTGAACAGGAGCTAAATCATGCCTGGTACTGGAAACTTAACTAACTATTGAGACTACTGAGGCCATGGATCTCAGAGAAGAACCTACTTACACAACAATCCTTAAATATCACACTTGAAGCAATCCCACTAAAATCAGGGACAAGATAAGGATGTCCACTCTCCCCATATCTATTCAATATAATACTCGAAGTTCTAGCCAGAGCAGTAAGCCAACAAAAAGAGATCAAGGGGATACAAGTTGGCAAAGAAGTAAAGGTATCACTATTTGTAGATGACATGATAGTATACGTAAGTGACCCCAAAAATTCTACGAGAGAACTTCTACAGCTGATAAACAACTTCAGCAAAGTGGATATAAAATGAACTCAAACAAATTAGCAGCCTTCCTCTACTCAAAGGATAAATGGGCAGAGAAAGAAATTAGGGAAACAACACCCTTCACAATAGTCACAAATAACATAAAATATCTTGGTGTGACTCTAACCAAGCAAGTAAAAGATTTGTATGACAAGAACTTCAAATCCCTGAAGAAAGAAATTGAAGCAGATCTCAGAAGATGTAAAGATCTCCCATGTTCATGGATTGGAAGGATTAATATAGTAAAAATAGCTATCTTGCTGAAAGCAATCTACAGGTTCAATGCAATCACCATCAAAATTCAAACTCAATTCTTCATTGAGTTAGAAAGAACAATTTGTAAATTCATATGGAATAACAAAAAACCCAGGATAGCAAAAACTATTCTCAACAATAAAAGAACTTCTGGGGGAATCACCATCCCTGACCTCAAGCTGTACTACAGAGCAATAGTGATAAAAACTGCATGGTATTGGTAGAGAGACAGGCAGGTAGATCAATGGAATAGAATTGGAGACCCAGAAATGAACCCACACACCTATGGTTATTTGATCTTTGACAAAGAAGCTAAAATCATCCAACGGAGAAATGACAGCATTTTCAACAAAATGTGTTGGTTCAACTGGTGGTCAGCATGTAGAAGAATGCAAATTGATCCATTCTTATCTCCTTGTACAAAGCTCAAGTCCAAGTGGATCAAAGACTTCAACATATAACCAGATACACTGAATCTAATACAAAAGAAAGTGGGAAAGAGCCTTGAATTCATTGGCACAGGGGGACATTTCCTAAACAGAACTCAATGGCTCATAAGCTCTAAGATCAAGAATTGATAAGTGGGACCTCATGAAACTGGAAAGCTTCTGTAAGGCAAAGAACATAGTCAATAGGACAAAACGGCAACCTACAGATTGGGAAAAAAATCTTCACTAACCCCATATCTAATAAAGGATTAATATCCAAAATATATAAACAGCTCAAGAAACTACCCGCCATGAAACCAAACAACCCAATCAAAAAATGGGGCAGAGAACAAAACAGAGAATTCACAACAGAGGAATCTCAAATGGCTTAACACTTAAAAAATGTTCCAAGTTCCTAGTCATCAGGGAAATGCAAATCAAAACGACCCTGAGATTCCACCTTACACCAATCAGAATGGCTAAGATCAAAAACTCAGGTGACAGCACATGTTGTCGAGGATGTAGAGAAAGAGGAACACTCCTCCATTGCTGGTGGGATTGCATCCTGGTACAACCACTCTGGAAATCAATTTGGAGATTCTTCAGAAAATTGAAAACAGATCTACCTGAAGATCCAGTTATACCACTCTTGGGAATATACCCAAAAGATACTCCACCATGCCACAGGGGCTAATGTTCCACTATGTTCATAGCAGCTTGTTTGTGATAGCCAGAAGCTGGAAAGAATTCAGATGTCCCACAATGGAAAAATGGATACAGAAAATGTGGTTCATTTATACAATGGAACACTACACAGCTATTAAGAACAAGGACATCCTGAGTTTTTCAGGCAAATGGATGGAACTAGAAAATATCATCCTGAGTGAGGTAACTAAGACCCAAAAGGACATGCATGGTATATACTCACTAATAAACAGATATTAGCTAAAAAACTACAGAATACACAGGATACAATCCACAGAACTCAAAAAGGTTAACAAGTCAAAGGACCCAAGTGCAGATGCTTCAATCCCACTTGGGAGGGAGAAGAAAGCAGCCACAGGAGGTGGGAGGGAGGTAGGTACTTGGGTGGGAAAGAGGACAGGGAGGGGAAGAGGGGAAAATGATCAGCTATTGGGGAGGGGGAAACAGGACTGAAGTCTTGAGGGCCAGCAGAAAGAATGGAAACAGGCAACCTAGGGAGGTAGGAGGGAGTGGGGATCCTCTAGAATGTACCAGAGACCTGGGAGGTGAAAGTCTCTCAGGACTCAAAGGGAGGGACCTTAGATTAAATGCCCTACAGTGGGGAGAGGGAACTTGTAGAGTTCACCTCCAGTGGAAAGACAGGGCATCAAGTGAGAGATGGGGTTGCCATCCCACAGTCAAAAACTCTGACCCAGAATTGTTCTTATCTGAAAGAACTGCAGGGACAAAAACAGAGAAGCACCTGAGGAAAAGGAGGTTCAGCCAGGCCCAAAGTGGGATCCAGCTCAAGGGAAGGCCCCAAGGCCTGACACTATTACTGAGGCTATGGAGTGCTTACAAAAAGGGGCCTATCATGACTGTCCTCCGGAAGACCCAATAAGCAGTTGAAAGAGTCAGATGCAGTAATTTACACCCAGACAATGGACAGAAGCTGCTGACCCCTGTGGGTTGAATTAGGGAGAAGCTGGGAAAAACTGAGGAGGAGGGCAACCCTGTTGGAGGACCAGCAGTCTCAATTAACCTGAACCCCTGAGGTCTCTCAAACACTGGACCACCAACCAGGAAGCATACTCCAGCTGATATGAGGCCCCCAACACATATACAGGACACATATACATATACAGGACTGCCTGGTCTGGACTCAGTCAGAGACGATGCACCTAACTCTCAAGAGACTGGAGGCCTCAGGGAGTGGGGAGGTCTAGTGGGGCTGGGGGGGTGTCAAGTGGGGGCATCCTCAAGGACATGGTGGGTAGGTATGGGATGAGGAACGGTCAGAAGGCAGAATGGGAGGGGTATAAAATCTGGACTGTAAAAAAAATATTAAATAAAATTAAAAAAAGAAAAGAAAAAAGAAAAATGAGCAATGGATCTGCACCAACCAATACCTGAACCAAAAAGTAAATATGGATGGCCAATAGTACAAGAAAATATGTTCAACATCATTAATTGTGAACATGCAAATTAAAACCACAATGATAAAGCAGGGTGAGCGCACAACACACACACACACACACACACACACACACCTTAACACACAATACATCCACACTATCTGTTAGCAAGGTCATACTGAGCACTGGTGATGACATGGAACAACTAAACTCTCATGCACAAATGGTGCATGCATCAGATTTTATAAATAACTTTGGCAATTTCCTTAAAGGTTAAATGTATACCTAGCTTAGGATTAAGTAACTCCATTCATAGGTATTTACCTAAGAAAAATGAAAGTCTATCTCATACCAAGACCTGCATAAGAAAATTCATACCAGCTTTATATGTCATAGCCAACAGCTGGAAACAACAAAAATATTTATGAGTTCTTGTCCAGACTCCTTCCAATGACAGACTATTCTGGAAGTATAAGCCAAATAAACCCTTTCCTCCCTAACTTGCCTCCCTAACTTTCTTTTGGTCAAAGTGTTTTTCCCATATCAATAGAAACCCTGACTAAGACACTATGGTATCATGTAAAACAAACCACTACCTAGAAATTAAAAGGGAATGAAAAAGGTGAATCTTAAATAATTAGACTACAAGAAAAGAGTGGACAAAAATTAATATGTAAAGTATAATTCCCACAATTCAAATTCTTACAGATGCAAATTAGAAGCACAAAGCACAACAGCAATTATGTGAGGCAGGGAAAATAGAGAGATATAAAGCAGGCCCCAAGAAGCATCTGGAGCAGATGGAGAGTATTGTTTGTGGACAGAATTTCATAGGTACATATGTCAAACTTGTCAGACTGTATACTTTGAATATGCAGTGTACTGTATACAAATTATTCCCCACTAAACTCTACTGAAGATTCATTATGCTGATTAAGAGAAGTAGCTGCAACTGTCAAAACCTGAATAACTATAACTAGTCTGCTAACAATTGATGTGCTCTGGTTAATGTAGTTAGTACTTATCAAACTGGTTGTCAGGAAAACTAGAACACTGAAAGAAATGAGATCAAACCATAATGTGATCACAGAACTGTAATTTGAAACTTTACTATTAAACTGTTTTGTTCTTAACTTGTAAGTAAAGCCTTCTGAAGTAAGAAAAGTCTTTGTCTAGGAATGAGAAGAGTAGGAAACAGTCATTCAGGTTAAATTCTGGTTAGGCAGGGTTGATTTCTCAAAGAGCAGTCCACAAGCAAGGAAGCATATTCAAAGACTTGGTAATCTTTTTCATGCGAAATTCCTCTTTCAAAAGTAAGAAGAAACTAAATATTTTTTAAAATAGGTACATTTAATGGAATCTTTTCTCACCATCCACTTTTATGCATATATTATATTTTTAGTTGAGTTTTTTACTGAAATTTCAAGTGTGGTCTTAAACTGAGCCTTTATGGAAGAAAAATTAACACATACCTGGGAATGGCTTAGCAGTGTGCTGGTATCTCTTGAACCTGGTTTGGAACTATTAGCAACAATTTCCTATCTTTGCTCGTAAATTCTTCCTGCTACAATATAATTGACTGACTGTAGTTGTGAACCAAAGGTGCTTATGAGTAAATTTCATCAGGGCAAATCAAGAATAGGGTATGGATTTTCTTCCTAGGGATTTAAGGGGTATGTCCCTCCATTCAGAAAGCACAGCCACATCCTATTTCCTATATGTCTACACTATGCTATACCAACACTACTTATAAAATCTGCAAGACTTTAAAGAAAAAAATACCTGTGTTTTAAATTCCAGAATGTTATTTCCTGGATTAATTTTTCCAAGTACTATCAAGTCTTTGAGCTGCACAGTTTTCTTTCTGGGAGACATGCTGTGGTACGGAGCCCTTTTGGTAGAACGCTGCTGGGCAGACACAGAGGAGGGAGAGATCTGAATGCTATCTGTCTGTGAAGCAACAGAAGCTGTCTTTTTAAGACATGGGATTGTCTGATGCACAGTATAGGTGTCTAAGACAGCAATGGCCTGAGCCAGAGGCTCTGATGTTCCCTCAGGTGGTTGTTGGGAAGCTGTTTTCTTCTTTCTTCTTTTTGGATTACAACGGAAAAGCTCTTGATTCTGAGGAACAGCTGGTAGACAAGCATCATTTTGGGAAAATATACTTTTATCTTCTGAAATACTTATAGTGCCAGTTAGTACAGAACTATCACATCCATAGCCTTTTACTGTAGCTTCTGTAAAAATATTTTCTGCTGGTGAATTTTCTGCTTGAGGAGTAAGAGCAGTAGGTTGGGACAATGATGTAATTTTCTCAGTGTCCTCTGAGGCTGTGGATCTTAATAACCCTCCCGAGGCACAATCCTGGACATTTTGTTTAGAATTTGTGTCATTTCCAGAGAATTCTTCTCTTCTTATTACCTCTGCACTTAAACAAATGTTAGTATTCTGGCAGTCACTTTGTTTTTCCAGAGACAATGGTACTTCTTGCATGCTTCTATAAGCACGATTGACAGGAGCAAGCGAGCCTGACTGGGCATGTGCTGAGTTGCCCATACGAGGAGGCTCTTGGCTCTTCTTGTCACTAGAGATGTCTGCGTTACATGGCACCTTCCTTAAACTAACAGCAGACGATGGTGTGGCATTCTTATAGTTTTGAATTTTCAGTCTTATCTTTTTCTGTTTTTTTGCTACCACTAAAAGACTCTTTTGTCTTGTGGCCAGGTTAGCCAGTTGTTCTCTCAGGGGCCCATGCTTAAATGACTCCATTGATACCCTATAAGTAAAAGAAAAAAATATTAACATAGAAGATTTTCTTCACAGACTGTTGTTTATAAAAGATACTCCGTGTCCTAATATGCATCATCTTTAAGTATAATAAAATCTGTATTTGAGATACATTTTCCTTTATAAGGAAACTGACACTTATTTGAGTTTGACTTTAAGATATTTTTAAATGTACTTCTTTTACTATTTTATGTATATGGATATTTTGCCTGAATGACATATGTGCACCACGTGCATGCCTGGTGCCAGAGATCTTATGAAGGCTTTGGATGCCCTGGGATTGGAGTCACAGATGCCCTGGGATTGGAGTTATAGATGCTTGTGAGTCAGCATGTAGGTACTGGGAATTGAAGCCCTATCCTCTGAAAGGGCAACAAGTGCTCCTAGCCTCTGAGACAACTCTTCAGCTCCAGGTTGCCTTTTATTAAAAACAGCATATAACATTATTTCAGTGAACTTAAAATGAGAACAGAACTTGGGTAACCTACAGTCTATTGGTGGCAGGTAGTAACTGGCAGCTGAAGACTACTACTGCTACTAAATTTTCACTTTGTTTATCTGGTTTAAAGAAGAAATGGTTCATTTTAAATTCCCTAACTATAGAGTACAAGATTGTTTTTTGAATAATAATACTTCAGTGAGACCTGAGAATGTAGTTAATTCATTTGTATTCTGAATCTGTCCTGAGGCATTTTCAAGTTGAGAAGACTCTCCCAGATAAAATACTAGCCCAAGCATCTTCAACTCCAAGATCTCAGAATCTTACTAAGCTAGAGGAAGGGCCTCGTTACACCTCCACATTGTCTTTTGTCCTTGACTTCACTGGCTCTGGAACTTCTTGGCTTTAGAACCTATACAAACTCTTGAGGAACCTAAACAGTTTTTGTTTGTACAGGCGATATCTACCACTATTTATTATTTTAGAATTAGACCAGCAAAATTCTAAAGAAGGATATAAAATACATATTTTATTAGCTAGCAGGTGGCCTTTGGAAAATGCTATTGGCTACTCACAAGTGAATGAGAACAAATAGCATGTTAGGATTAGAGAACATAGCTTCAACTTTATATAAAATGGTCTCAAGGACCTACCAGTGACCTATAGTATATACTTTAAGAGCTACTGTTTTAAGAAAAAACATTATAGAACTAGCTTGCCTTCCCAATAAAGTGTCTAGGTGCTGATACTGAACACCGGCTATGATAAGAGTCCTACTACATACGGAGGGCAATAAGAAGTGAGAGGGGAAACAACTGGTAGCATAATTTATAATATGCTAGATAAAGAAGAAAGAAAATATTATCATGCTTAAAATTATGTAAAAGAGAAATTCACACATAATATGCAAGTGCCTTCTTTAGATCACTCACATCAGGACTCAAATCTTACAGCAATTGTAATGTGCTTTAGATACCCAAAACTCCAACAGAACTCAGAACATTTCAAAATCCCAGGTACACCACTTATCATAGGACAATAAAAGAGAATTGAAGCTAGGAGATGCTCAAAATCTCCTAAAATGGCCTATAGCTAATTTCTCATCAGTTAACAGAAATTCACTTGCTTGATGTTTATCTGGAAAGCAATTTAGGAAAAAATAATGTTTTAATATTTACTTGTGGGAGAGAAAAGCAAAATTAAGCTTTCATCCCTGTCTTTCCACACTTATTGTTTATCCTACTTCAACCTGCCCTGTGGGCGCCTCTCCTCCCACCCCAGTGCCATTATCTGGGGACTCTGGCTCTTGGTGCAGACCACAAAGTCTGGATCTTCTGCCAACCCTCTCAGCTTTCCCTTCTAGACCATCTTCATTCTTTGTTGTTAGCTTACTACCTTCAAAAACACATTCTACCAGGGACTCCCAGTGGCCACACAGGGATGGACGCAGGTAGGAAATTCTCACTAACCTTTCTGTCATTTACTGTACTGTCTCTAGACCCACTCTTAGCTCTGTAGCTGCCTGTTTGTAGGAGCCCCTCCTCCCACCCTATCTACAATCCCTGGCGACTCTGCCTCTTGGTGCAGACCCCGCCCCACATCCAGAGACTTTTTCATGGCCTCTCTTTCTCTTAGCCTTTCCTCCTAGTCTATCTCCATGTTTCTGCTACCCACTGACCTGCAAAAGCACTCTCTACCAGGGACCCAACAGCCATACTCTTGCCTAGGATTCGAAGACGGCAACAGTAACCAAAGAACAAAACAAAGGCAAAACTAAATATCAACACTAAGAAAAATCTCAAACATTATAACTCCAGAAACCTAGACATCAACACAAAAATACAAACATAAACAGCCAAGACAGCAGAAGTCAGTATCCCTCAGTAGAAGACAGTAACCCTACTGAAATGGGTCCTGAGAAATGCTTTGTATCTGAAGCACAAGATAAGGACTTCAAAATAACTATTACGATTATGTTTAAGAATCTTAAAGAGGATATGAGTAAGTACCTTAATGAGGTCTATGAAAACATGAACACATAGCTCAGTGAAAGAATAAAATAAATCAAGACATATTCGTAGTAGAATGTAACAAAGAACCACCAAAGAAAACTCAAACTGAAATATAACTGAAAATGAAAAATTTAAGATGTCAAACAAAAAGCTCAGAGGTAAGCCTTATAACAGAGTATAAAACACAGGAGAGAGAATGTCAGGTTGAAGACAAGGTAGAAGAAATGGATATTGCAGTCAAAGAAAATGGTAAATCTAAAAAAAAAAAAAAAACCCCAGGCACAGAGAATATTTTTAAACAAATTCATAGAAGAAAAATTTCCTAATCTAGAGAGGTGCCTATCAAAGAACAAGAAGTATTCAGATAACCAAATAGACAGAACCAGAAGTGAACTTCTTCTTGACAGACAATAATAGAAACACTGAATATATAGAACAACAATAAAAAAGGATATTAAAAGCTTCAAGGGAAAAAGACCAAGTAACGTATAAAAGCAGAATCATTAGAAAAACAGTTGACTTCTCAATGGAGACTCTAAAAGCCAGGAGGGCCTAGACAAATGTTCTATAAACTCTGAGAGACCACAGATGCCAGTCCAGACTATATGCAGCAAAAATATTAATTATAATTAATGTAGAAAGAAGTATATCCCAGAAGGGAGCCAAATTTAAGCAATTTCTAGCTACCAATCCAGCTCAAAAAAGGCAGTAAGTAGAAGGAAAACTTCAGTTTAAAGAGATTACCACACCCAAAAAGACACACCGGAGTAGTGAGTGAAGACGAAGAGAAAACTCATACCATAACAAGAAAATAACAGGAATCAATAAACACTGCTCATCAGTAACTCTCAATATCATTGGTATCAATTCCTCAATAAAAAGACAGACTAATAGGCTGGACTAGAGAACAGGATGTGTCCTGCTGTACCCATGAGATACTACACAACTAAGGACAGACATCACCTAGGATAAAAAGATGGAAAAAGGTATTCCAAGCAAATGGAACAAAGAAGCAGGAGAGTGTTGCTATTTTAACATTTGACAAAATAAACTTCACACCGAAATTAATCAGAAGAGATTTAGGATACAACACACTCAAAGGAAAATAATGCACCAAGAGAATACTGCTATTGAAAACATTTATATATCAAATACAAGGGTACCCAACGGTATAAAAGAAGCACTACTACACCTAAAAATCACATTGACCCTCACAAAGTGATTTGGGTGACTTCAATATGCTCTTATCAATAGGCACTTACCCAGACAAAAAGCTAAACAGAGAAATGCTAAAATTAAATAACATCACAAATCAGATAGAGCTTGCACATATCTACAGAACCTTTCACCAAAAACACAGAATATATTTTCTTCTCAGTAGCTCATGGAATTTTCTCCAAAGTTGACCACATACTTGGACATAAGCAAGTTTCAAAAGATGTAAGAAAATTGAAGTCGTCTATCTGATCACTGTTGATTAAGCTGGACATCATCAACAGAAAGTATAAGTATTCATGGAAATTGAGCAACTCACTGCTTAATGAAACACAGGTCAAGACAGAAATCAGGAAAATTAAAAATATTTATTTGCCTCCAAGTTTTATGATGTCTTTGTTTTTAATAGTTGAGTAGTATTCCATTGTGTAGATGTACCTCATTTTCTTTATTCTTCAGTTGAGGGACATTTAGGTTGTTTCTAGTTTCTGGTTTATATGAATAAAACTGCTATGAACAGAGTTGACCAAGTGTCCTTGTGGTGTAGTGTGACATCTCTGAGTGAGGTAACCCAGACCCAGAAAGACATGCCTAATACATACTCACTTATGAGTGGACATTAGCCATGAAGTACAGGATAACTATGCTACAATTCACAGACCCAAAGAAACTAAATTACAAGGAGGGTCCAAGGGAAGATACGTGAATCTCACTCAGAAGGGGAAATAAAACAGACATTTATGGTGGACAGAGCGAGGGTGGAAGATAGGGAGAGGACAGTAACTGGGATGGGATTCAGGTGTGGGAGATGGGAAGCAGGAGAGGTTTGAGAGGGGGGAAAGGGAGGGAGGGAGAAAGGGAGGGAGGGAGGGAGAGAGAGAGAGAGAACTGGTGGGGCGCATCTCTGGTACTAGCTGAAGACCCAGGATGGAGGAGGCTCCTAGGAGTCAACGGGAGTGACCCCAGGTGAGACTACCAGCAGTGGGGAATATGGAGACTAAAATGGCTGTTTCCTGTAGCCAGGCAGGTCTTCTAGTGGAGGGAGGGGGACATCAACCCTTCAGCAAAACTTTCAACCCAAAATTTGTCCTGCCTCCAAGATGTGCAGGGATAGAGACAGAGCAGAGACTGAGGAAATGGCCAACCAATGACTGCCCAACCTGAGAGACCCATCTCATGGGAGAGAGCTGACCTCTAACACTATTGATACTCTGCTGTGTTTGCAAATAGGAGCCTAGCATGACTGTCTCCTCAGAGGCTTCATCCTATAGTGGATGGAAAGAGATGCAGATACCCACAGCTGAATATCAGGCAGAGCTGTGG